GGGTTTGGGGGAGGGAGGGGCAGGGAGAGAGGAGAGAGATGGATATGGCCCACAACAGGTCTCCAGAACTCACTAAGGGGTCTGAAATAATTGCCCACCCGTCTTAGAATAAGATATGTGCATCAGAATTTCTCAGCATCACTATATTTGATTATCAAAACCTTCTTGTGCACTTTAAAGGTTAGTTTAGAATTTGCCAGGAAGGCAGTCTGACCAATTTTGGGGGAACATATTGTAACCATTGCTTTTTGTCTCTGTATACTTATTACTTGGATTCTAGTTTTTAGATTTCATTAATTTTAATTGGGGCATTTCTATTTTTCTCACATTCTGGATACATTCACAACAATGTTTTTCTCTGTTTTACAGACAGTATGAAACTGTAGTTCCTCTTGAAGACTCTGTTGTGACTGAAGTCACAGCAACACTCCAAGAATGGGCTGTCCTCTGGAAACAGCTTTATGTAGTAAGTACACTAAGAAAAACAAGAGTGTTTTTATTCCATACTATTGAACAAGTGATAGCAAACAATTTTCTTTCTTGACCTGAACGTTCTCCTAATTTGCTCTGGGCACCATTGATATCACAGTTAATGCTGTTAAGAATTTAGTGTTTCCATATAATTTTGAAAGTGATTATCTCTTGCAAGAGTCGAAACAATTGGAGGAACATGGTAGATAAATATAAATTTCTCCTGGAATTTGAACAAAGTGATATATGTAGCCTTGTAGTTCTTGCTGTGGCAAAGAGCTCATCCTTAGAAAGGAAATCATCTTTTTTTTAATTTAGCAGAAATGTAGTATTATACTTCTTCAAATGTGCAAGAAAAAATTGATAAAACTGCATAACATTTGTATGTTAGACTAGGAAGGGAATGTTAACCCTGTTCTACAAACCAAAGCATACATAAATTGAATTATAGTTCACTTAATCAAGGGCATACACTGAATCAGTGCAAGAGCTACAGCTAGTATTTGTATGCACCTGGCTTTTAGACCTGTCTCTATCCTGCAAAGCCAAATTGCCGCTCATTGGGCACATCTACGCAAGAGACACTATGTCAACATAGGATCAGAAATTACTCATGTGCCGCTGGGACTTGGCAGTAATGGTGGTTACTGTGCAGTTATTTAGTTCTTGCTAAAAACGAAATGACTGCGCAGTAACAACTGCGCAGTCCGGTGCACATATAGACATGCCCATTTATTCATAGCATCTTAAAATATCTGTCTAAGAGACCGAATGGAAACATTAGAGTGCAGTTGGGTCTGTCTGTGAGTAAGACTATGACAAAGTTTTGATTACCAAAAACTGTAACTTAATTACATTAATTTATTAATGTAATTTATTCACTTTCTGTAGTAATTTGATATCTGGTTGCTGCTTCAGTTTAGTGAGAAAATCATGACTGATGGTCACAAGTAAGAAGCCAACAATTACAACACAGTTATTTTAGTGATATTGGTTATTCTATGTGCATCAGATGCTTGTATACAAGAACTGATTTCAGATTATTACTTTAGAATTGTTACCACTATACATAAGAGAAATGCAAAGCAGAATAAAAAGTCTCTCTCAGTTTCCCTAAATATCATTATCTCTCTCCTGCTCTTTTATAGATAATTCTTTATATAGATTATGATTGCATTTTATTTAGAAATTCCATGGATGTGTTTTAGTAATTCAGTTGACATGCCATGTAAGATTTGAGTCTGCCTTCTGGACTTTTATAAAATGAACAGAAAGAGGTCCCCAGCCCTCTAAAATAGTCTCATATTTGTTTAAATGTTTTTGTTCATAGCTTTTTAATATTCTGGAGAAAATATTTATTAAGTCTGAAATATGTAAATACTTTTATTTTTGGTTAATTTTTTAATCCTACACTGAATTAATCTCGAATTTCTGGAAAAGGGGAATGCCTCTGTTTTTAAATGGTTCATAATGTGTACAAGATTTCTATTTTAACATTTCTTTGGGTGGAAAGAAACCTTGTGTTTTCTTGAGTCAGTTCCAGGTGGAAACATTTCAAGTACTACATTGAAATTTTTTTTTCTTACATTACTGTTGTTGCTATTGTAAGAAGTATCAACACATATGACAATTTAAGACAACTGTCTTGCAAACAGGCCAACAAAGTCATTTTAAGTGTTGTGTTTGTGGAACATATCTTAATGTGCTATTTGCTTGTTATAGCAATAACAAACCCCATTCCAAAACTTATTTTTCATATTTTCTTCTTACAGTTCTGTAAACCTGGTCTGTGAGCCTTGCAGAGTCTTTAATGCACTAACATGTTTTCCTACATAAAGGCCCCCCTCCTGTGTCAATTTGAACTCATAGCTTCTAACTACAGCCCCATTAACTTGCCAGGGAGCCCATCTGTCTTGCCACCTTGCTGACAACAGGAGAATTTTAACAGCTTGAAGGACACTTATGAAAGCTACAGAAGCAGTTAGCAAATTCTACTTCAAATAATTTGGAGTCAGCAGGGACATGTTGTATCTGCTTTCTTAAAAATTTAACTATTCTTTTCTTTCCCTGAGCTCTGTCCCCACTCGTGAACTTTATCAGTTATAGCTGTGCAATCTTAAAATGAAATCTCAGTAGATAAGTAAAAGGACGATCCAGTTTTCAAATATGTTAACGCATTTTTAACTTTCTCATACATATCGGTTGCCTTTTCTTTCCGAGTCTTACTCTGTGTTTAAATAAAATGTTTTCAGTTCATCTAGACATATGAAAAGAATAAATGTATTGGGTATCTAGGTTGTAGCCGTATTGGTCTACAGGAAAAGGCAATTAGGACTCATAGTAGAGATGATAACTTTTATTAGACCAACAAGATTTTTGCAAAAAAAAATCTTTAATTGCAGGCTTTTGGGCACAAACACCTTTCATCAGGCATTAGAGAAAAGATGGTAAAAGTTCTCCTGGGTAGAAATAAAAGTTCTTTTCTCCTGGGTAGAAAGAATAAATTTATTCATTAGAAAGATGACCAACCAAAGTATTTAATTTGTTAAATACAATTTCATTTGGTACAAAGCAAAATCTATTATAGAGACCTTGAATCCTCTTTGGAGAAAACCTGGTATAGGATTAGGCCAGTGAAGAATGTGTTTTTCTGTATTATATTCAGGCCCCCATGTTTCCCCCTCCACCCCCATATAAATATCACTATTCAGACTCAGAAGCTTCTTCCTGCATTTTGAGGATTGCAGTTGCATAAAATTAACCTTTAGCTCTAGTTCTTGGGGAGGACTGTCAAGATGTGAATGCTAATGCACTTTATTATTGCTGGAAGAAACTAGATAAACCCTATCGGAAATGTAAACAAACAAGACTAAGCCAAAATCTATTCTGATTGGCTCAGTGAAAGAGAACAGAAATGCAGCTCTTTATTCCTTCTTCCTTTAGTAGGCTACTGGCTTTAAAGATCTTGCTGTTGAAAGCTGAAACGCACAAAAAAAAGTTGATGTATTTTCCAGTTCAGCTGTGCCCTTTAATCCATAAGGCACAATCCTTAGGGGTGTTGTAAACAAGATGTCACATGAGCTAGGTTCATTTTCAGTATGTTTTTCCTTGCTAAGGGACGCTTCTACACAAGATGTTTACTGCTCATTAGACTAATTAGCTGTGCAGTAAATGTCTCGGCATCTACATGTGTGCCCCTATTAGGTTGGAGTAAACTAACTTACTCTGCAGCAGGATAGTACTTGTAAATGCAAGTACTATCCTTCTGCAGAATGAAACTCTGCAGCAGCACCCATGTAGATGCTGCCCCAGGCAGCCCTCTGCAGCATGTTGAGCTGTGGAGAGCAGCCCTGTGCTGGGCTGGCAAACTGACCCCCAGAGCCCATGACTGCTGGGGCTGCTCTGACCTGACTCAACATGCTGCGGTCCTGGGCACACATTCAAACACCAGTAAACTCAAGAGTTTATTGTTTCACATTAATTGCACATGTAGATGTGCCTAAGGAGACCAAACTTACTGCATCATATACAGAGGTATGTGTGGCTGCTTATTTGGGACTGAAATATATTTGTACTATAGGTTTTTGTTTTTTTTATTTTAGGACTGTCTCCAGTACTGTTCTAATAGACAAAATGATGCTACTTGGAATCTCTTCAGTGCATAAGTCAGCATTACACAATGCCTGCTCTTTAGTTAGTTTGACTTTAAATGTTGCTGTGATGTGTAAGCTTTCTGTTTGACATAGTTCAGAGGAAATATCTAGCCATATGAAATGGCAAGACACAACATGGGAAGTGACCTCTGTTCTATAACTTTTTGCAAATAGGACTTCACTCATCCATGGAAACTGGGAACCATCAAAACAATAGCGTTCATATTTCCATAGTCATATTTTTGTTTTCTTGCGATAATGTGAAATTAAATTAATTTCATTGTTGTAATATTTTTAACAAAAATGTATAATGTATTAAAAAACAAAACTAAAAATAGAATGTAATATTGGTAAAATACAATTAAAAACCAAGAAGAAGTCTACATTGTAATGCTGACATAGCCCTCCCCTCAGTGAAACATTTCAGGTGTATGTCTAAACAGATAGTCTGTTTTAGGCAATGAAGTACCACGCAAGGCTTATAGTCAGCAGCTTTAGTAAAAGTAACTTTTCTTGAATCATTGCATAAAATGTATACAGTTTTACTAGACACATTACAGCTGCCTTAAGTTATGTACACATGTACATACACTCTACCCTAATAAAGGTCTTAAATTTCTTTAGAGGACTGTACCCATATCATCTGCAAGATGCTTCCTTTTGAATCAACATCTCTCCTGTAATGTGTAAATGAGAGGCGAGCAGTTGTTTTATATGGCAAGAAAAGATTACTAAGTGCAGAAAAATGTATTAGCTAATTACGTATTATAAGGTATTTGCACACAGTTGAGGTTGAATTGTCATTTCAGTACCACAACCTTTTTTTTAATAAATGAGACATGTTACATGCTTACCCCTCTGGTAAATTAGGCAACTTAATTTAAGTGCGAAAGAGCTCACATTATGTTTCCTTATCGATTTAAACATGTAAGGGTTGAAGTCAGCTGGAAGTCAGTTGATTATGTTTAGAACACCTTCACTAATGTATTTATTCTGAGCACAGAAATGGTAACTACTTGGGTAAGTCTCCAGCTGGGGTGGGCGCTATGTGCAGTGACTGTTCTACACTGGCTGGGGTGGGCTCTGCAGGCAGCACAGGTGCAGTGCTGGCCAGAGCAGGCGCCATATAGGTCAACTGTAGATCCAGAGGCAGCACCAGGGGCCAGATAATGGGGCTCTGTGGGCTGGGTCTATCCTACAGCAATATCTTTGACACCCCTGGCATAAATGGTGCTTGTTGCTTCTAAGTTTTAAATGTTTATCTTTTTCACGAGGAATGAAAATTCTTCTCAGTTGCTGGCTCACGTAGCACTGTACATTTCTGAGAAGGGGTTTTACATTC